ACTGGTCACTGTCCACGTATAGACAGCTGGTGATGTGCCCCTCACTGGTCACTGTCCATGTATTGGCAGCTGGTGATGTGCCCCTCACTGTCCATGTATAGACAGCTGGTGATGTGCCCCTCACTGTCCATGTATAGAGAGCTGGTGATGTGCCCCTCACTGGTCACTGTCCACGTATAGACAGCTGGTGATGTGCCCCTCACTGGTCACTGTCCATGTATTGGCAGCTGGTGATGTGCCCCTCACTGTCCATGTGTAGACAGCTGGTGATGTGCCCCTCACTGTCCATGTATAGACAGCTGGTGATGTGCCCCTCACTGTCCATGTATAGACAGCTGGTGATGTACCCCTCACTGGTCACTGTCCACCTATTGGCAGCTGGTGATGTGCCCCTCACTGTCCATGTATAGACAGCTGGTGATGTGCCCCTCACTGTCCATGTATAGACAGATGGTGATGTGCCCCTCACTGTCCATGTATAGACAGCTGGTGATGTACCCCTCACTGGTCACTGTCCACGTATTGGCAGCTGGTGATGTGCCCCTCACTGGTCACTGTCCACATATTGGCAGCTGGTGATGTACCTCTCACTGGTCACTGTCCACGTATTGGCAGCTGGTGATGTGCCCCTCACTGTCCATGTATAGACAGCTGTTGACGTGCCCCTCACTGGTCACTGTCCACGTATTGGCAGCTGGTGATGTGCCCCTCACTGTCCATGTATAGACAGCTGGTGATGTACCCCTCACTGGTCACTGTCCATGTATTGGCAGCTGGTGATGTACCCCTCACTGGTCACTGTCCACATAATCGCAGCTGGTGATGTGCCCCTCACTGGTCACTGTCCATGTATTGGCAGCTGGTGATGTGCCCCTCACTGGTCACTGTCCACGTATTGGCAGCTGGTGATGTACCCCTCATTGGTCACTGTCCACGTAATGGCAGCTGGTGACGTGTCCCTCACTGGTCACTGTCCATGTATTGGCAGCTGGTGATGTGCCCCTCACTGGTCACTGTCCATGTATTGGCAGCTGGTGATGTACCCCTCACTGGTCACTGTCCACGTATTGGCAGCTGGTGATGTGCCCCTCACTGGTCACTGTCCACGTATTGGCAGCTGGTGATGTGCCCCTCACTGGTCATTGTCCACATATTGGCAGCTGGTGATGTACCCCTCACTGGTCACTGTCCATGTATTGGCAGCTGGTGATGTGCCCCTCACTGGTCACTGTCCATGTATTGGCAGCTGATGATGTGCCCCTCACTGGTCATTGTCCACATATTGGCAGCTGGTGATGTGCCCCTCACTGGTCACTGTCCACGTTTAGACAGCTGGCGATGTGCCTACACAATCCCTACATTTGCAAAAAAAATGTGTTTGTCTTCTGCAGAAAAAAATACATCGTATCCCTTCAGTGAATTCAGGGAAAGGAACAGATCATAACAAATAAACTTGGTCAATACAAATTTTAAATTTGAGATAAAACATATAGACATGACTTTTTCCTCACCCCCTCCTCTCCCGTCCTCCTCCCCCCTCCCAATATTAATTAGGTTACATATTCTTTGACACAACTTATTTTATGCTTTGTTAATGAGTCCACTGAAAAAAAACTAAGCCTTATTTTTTCTTTCCTCCAATTAATTCACTGTCAGTATAAATATAAATTAATTGTTTAAAATACTAATACTAAAACCTGTTGAAAATAAATCTTAAAAACAAATACTCAACGAATTATGACAAATTGCTAAAATGAAAAAATATAAATATATCATATTGTTGTTTTTTCCTTCTTTTTTTCGACCTGCCAACCTGAATTATATGTTCAAAACAAATTCGGCCCAAAGTTTTTGCTGAATGCAAACATGAGTGTTCTCTGTAAATGAAGAGTCATACAATATGTTAAACTGCAAGACAGACAAGACCGGTTGAACTACCATTCCTCCCAAACAAAATAAATCTGAAATGTTATTATTATGTTTAACTCCACCAGGATGTTTTACACACAAAATTAGAAGTCACTGATAGCACAAACAAGTTCATCTTACCGATTGGTACCTTGACCTTGGTACCTTGACCTTGGTAACCTGTACACAAGAAAACAGGCTGAACTGACCTTGCACTCGTTCTATACATGCCCCTAGAACAGATGGATCCTTAACATTTAGACAAGTGACAACAAAAGTATTCATCTGGTATTTATTTCTGGAAAACATGTTGCTTGCAAGGCTGAAAACTCCCCTCCTAATGATGCACCACAGGGAAGTGAGAATAATGTTTGTACGTATCACCAGGTACACTGATCATTGACAGGAGTAATTGTACATTCTACTCTTTGAACACTCGTGGAGTCTGATGCCATTTGTATCTGTAAGTGGGCATCATATTCTGGTTGTTATTTGTCTGTGTATTTGTGACACTCCTCCTCAATGTAATTAGCCGGAACCTTGAAAATATTACATTTTATGGCAGTTATTATCCTGCTGTGAAACAAAGAGGGTTTTATGTCTGTAACAGTTCTTGTAGTGGTTGATGTGGAGCAGGATCGGCACGGCGCCAACAGGCACGGAACAACACCGTGTTGTAACACGCTGGCCGTACAGGAAGTGCATGAGATGATTACTGCGTTCAATATCCCGGCGTTGTGTAAACATCAACAACCAACCTTCCACAAATTCACACTCGCAGACGACAGGTCCACTCAGACGACAGGTCCACTCAGACAACAAGTCCACTCTCAGATGACAGGTGCACTCTCAGATGACAGGTCCACTCTCAGACAACAGGTCACACTCAGACCAAGTGTGATATGCATCAGTGTGATAAGGGCATTTTCAATTTCATTTTATGATCCTATCTTGATATAAGAGTTGGTCTGGATGACAAGGACGTGGCCCTGGGATGTTGTTCCTCTGTGATAAGGTCACGCTGCAGTGACACACAGGAAGTCCCCTCTGAGCAACTTCCTGTGACTGTATGGTAGGAAACGGTCAGTTCCGTGTTGTCTTAGATCCTTGTGATATATTCAACTCTGACACAGTTGTAGTGAAAGATAACAGTAACAACGGTTGCCATTCAAAGGCTAACAACAGTGTATTGTGCTCACGTTTATATAAAAGGTAAGATACAAACTGGCCATTAGTGCAGTGTTCACATTCAAAATACTACTCATTGAAACTGCCTTCTTCCTATGGAGAATGAATCGCTTTCTTATAAATATGTCCTTGCAGTGATGAGGTTCTTTAAAACAGAGGTATGTTGTCGTGATTTGAAACCTGTAATTAACCTATCAGATTCAAGAATTCTCTAAATTAAGTCATTGTAGAATAATCCTCACTGTGAACCTATCCCTGTATTAGCCTATATTACATATGGTTCCGGACAACTTTATGACTTCAGTTGTGTCCAAGCTCTGCATGTTTTTCTCTTGCACACTTTGATAAAATTCCTTTTATACCGCGACACATGGTATTGTTTAACTATATGGTGTATTGATGTTTTCTGATTTTTTCTGGTATTTCTTGCATTTAGACTGTTCATAAGATGGATAAAACACTCCTCTTTAGTTTTGGTTGAAAATGTAAAACTGTGAGCAAGGGAAAAATATCGGAGTAATTTTTTATCCCTAAAAAAAACAACATAAACAATAAATGGTTATTTTGATAAACAGTATGTTTTGTATTTAGTATAATCCTAAAACCTAAAAATTCAAGTCCAATTTTTTTGCAATGTTGTGAGTGCTTCAACTGATAACAGTGACCAGTGAAATATTTCTATAAGAATGGGAGAATTAGCATAAGAAGATAGCCCTGCAATGTTAAAGTGAATTACTGTTAAAGAATTGACGTTCACTTTGTGTGAGTTCAGTGGAGTATGAACCTTCATAGAGTGCGGGCCAAACTTATATTTTATAACAAGAATAAAGAAATAAACATCTTGGAAACGTTAGACTACATGACACACGGTATAAAGAAATAAACAGTGTGTTGGTTATACTGGGTGTCATCCCAAGGATGGAGCACTTTGTTGACTTTGTTGATGGATATTCCTTAGCGTCACTGGTAATCTGTTCGGTGCTCCAAGACTGAAGGTCCAAGTCGTCTTATAGCATGGCACTGTATCTGTCAACTTCTGTCCTGTAACTTACTAGCATAATCTGACTTGTTCATGGCATTAAAACCAAAATTTTTTTTTTTTTTAAATGATAAAACAAAATTGTGTTAAATCTTGAAAAAGAATTCTAAGAAACCTCAAAGCCTAGGAAACAAAACATTCCCATGATGTGTGGCAATACTAGCGGATATTCAGTTGATGCCAGTAAAATATCAACACGTCCCTTTTTCTTAAACTTCAGCATTTTTTTAGATTCATTTCAGAAACAAGACCCATAGATTCTTAACTTTATGAGTGAGTGAGTTTGGTTTTACGCCGCTTTTAGCAATATTCCAGTAATATCACGGCGGGGGACACCAGAAATGGGCTTCACACATTGTACCCATGTCGGGAATCGAACCCGGGTCTTCAGCGTGACGAGCGAACGCTTTAACCACTAGGCTACCCGACCGCCCCCTTAACTTTATGAAAAAATATAGAACCATAATGACTTTCAGTTGAACATGTGCTTCATCTACAGAGATTTGAATTTAGGACAATGACTGATTTTGCTCCTTGGTTTTTTATATTACCCGGTACCAGTGATTACGCTAGAATCTGACATTCAACGATTAAATCTGCCCACTTTTTCTTTCAATTTTAACAGAGGTTGATAATAGTAGAACTTATAGTCAATTATCAATCCATCCTTACACTATCATATTCACAATAAGTGATGATCATATTTCTCTAGAATATCCCAGGATAATGTAGTGACGTGTTAATCCCATCATTAACCTGTGTCTGCACTTACATTGATGTCTGATTGGTGAGCGTGTAACTGTGAACAGCTTTCATCACCTCATTACCCCAGCGCTAACCATCTGTCCCTCCCTGCTTCTTCCAGGAACTGCTCTACATACAGGAGGGGGAGATACGAGACCTCGGCATCAAGAACGGCGCTCACCGAGCCAAACTTGTCTCCAGTCTCCGAATCCTACGGGACAAGTACCAGAAAGGTTGGTGGCGACACGTTGTTGTTATTCCTTGTTTTTCTTCCAGTTTTGTTTTTGTTTTAGTTCTTATAACTTGTTTTGTTTGCCATTGCATCCTCTTTGAATTGATTAATACATACCAACTTTGGGTTCAGATTTATAATGGATTCCCTATATAGCAGAGGTGATACTGTTAGAACAAGCACACCATTTGGTGCATACGGAGGCGGATGGAATGGTTGCATCCTGTTTTTGCAGACACCTTACATGTCAACATGCATTAGCCCCTTCCTCGTGTTCTGTTTACGGCACGATTGAGTGGTGTGCATCCCCCTTTTTCATAACCTTAAAGAGAGAGAAGACTGCCTACTGAGCTAACACAAGCTAACACAGCCTCATCAGCAAAAACACACCGTTAAACCCCATTTCACTTTAGCTCATCAGCAAGAGTGGTTGAAGTTACATTGGAGTACCGAGGAAAGCATATCTGATGGACAGGGTTGATGTGTGGGTGGGGATAGGGGTGGGTAGTGATGTGGGGGTGGGGGTGTGAAGTGGGAATGGGTTTGTGTAACCAGGCTTCTGATGTGGGGGTGGGGGTGGGGGTGTGATGTGGGTTTTGATGTGGGAATGGGTTTGTGTAACCGGGCTTGTGATGTGTGGGGGGATGTGATATTGGGTTGGGCTTGTGATGTGGGAGTGGACTTGTGTGGTGTGGGTGAACTTGTGATGAGGGAATGGGTTTGTGTAACAGGGCTTGTGTTGTGGGGGTTAGTTTGTGTGGTGGGGGTGGGTTTGTGTGGTGGGGGTGGGATTGTGTGATGTGGTGGGGGGGGCGTGGTTGGGTTCGGGGTGTGTGGTAGGGTTGGGGGGCTTATATGGGGGTTGGCTTGTGTTTTTGGGGTGTGTGGTTGGGGTGGGGGGTGATATGGTGGCTGCTTGTGTGGTGGGGGTGTGATGTGGGGGTGTGTGGTTGGGGTAGGGGTGTTTGGTAGGACTTGGGGTGTGATGTAGGGGTGGGTTTGTGTGGTAGGGGTGGGTTTCTAATGCTGGGTTTGGCTTGTTTGTGTGTGTCCCCAGGGTTAGGGGTGGCCGACGAACAGCTGCCATCATTGTTTCTGATTTATTATATGTGGGTCAACTGATGTCATGATTGTGGTTTCCCAGTGTTTTGTCAAGATATTCTGGAGAAACGTGTGGTCACGTGGGAGGAAGGCCACGGTTCACGTATGTGATGACATAGCATTTAGGGTTAATCGAGTTGTGAATTGAGAAACCAACGCGCAAATTATAATCCTAGAGTAATGAACACAACATTTTGTCCTCGCTAGCCAATGAAATTGCCGGAAATTACATAGAATTTTAAAATGGTAGTTTTTCCAATTGCTTTTAAACGTTTGAAGGAAAGCAGCTGTGTCTTGTATGATGCATTAGTGCCAACAGCAGACAATAAAATGTTTGATTCTACAGGACGCCAAGAAGCGTGGGAGCAGGACGGGGTCCCTTACCATGGTCTCATTTGTCATGTGATCCACTACACTGTCATGTGACTTGCCATACTGTCATGTGACCCACCATACTGTCATGTGATCCATCGTACTGTCATGTGACCTACCATACTGTCATGTGATCCACTATACTGTCATGTGATCACCATACTGTCATGTGACCCACCATACTGTCATATGGACCACCATAGTGTCATGTGACCCACCGTACTGTCATGTGACTCACTATACTGTCATGTGACCTACCATACTGTCATGTGATCCACTATACTGTCATGTGACCAACATACTGTCATATGTCCCACCATGTTGTCATGTTACCTGCTATACTATCATGTGACCCACCATATTGTCATGTGACCCGCTATATTGTCTATTGTCATGTGACCCGCTATACTGTCATGTGACCCAACATTTTTTCTCGTCATATTGTCTGTGACCCACCCACCATAATGATCACATGTCTGGCTGCTGTGCAACTCAACAATTCCTGTAGAATTTTCACAACCTACATGCCAAACACTACTTCCACTTTGTGCCTTACATCCAGAGTCTGAAATACAACGACCTTCAAACTCAAATTCAAACTAATATATTCCCATCGATAAGAGCTTCTTCGCCAAGTCTGATTGATTTCCATAACAAAAAGAAAATGAACAAACTACAGCTGGCTATCATGTGTGAGCTAAGAATGCACCTTCTCTGGAATAGTCCAAGATCCCCTAACATACCTGACGGTTCAACGTAACACGTTCTCTCTGCGCTCCTACAAACATATCACATGTACCCTCCACCACAGGCTCGGGAGACTAAACCAGGGGGATTTATTATAATACACTTACGATGGCCTCTGATGTACCACTAAGCACAGCTGGAGTGAATTATTCACTTCAGGAGAACATTCTTTCATCATGGAGGTAAAACAACCAGAAAGCATCTGGAGTGAACTCCACATCTCATATCCAGTTTTCATCTTCATCGAAGAAACCGAAAAAAAATTTGATTATTATTTTTTCTCATCAGTTAATGGTGAAACTATGTTGAATATACTGTTTTTTCTTCCGAAACAGGAAGTTGCACATCTGTCAAAATATGGAAGCTAGGTTTTGATAAACTGACCCAGTGTTACAGATGCAAGAAGTGAACTCATTGATCTTATCTAACTGTAGATCAGGATTGGGGAACAATTTGTGACATTAATATTGAGTGAATGATTTAACATATTTTGATAACATTTCAAGTGAATGAGTAAAAATATTATGAAGCTCCGGAACAGTGTTTAGATCAACACTGAGCAGTAGCTAGGCCGTGGCAGCTGCCATCAGGACATTGAAAAGTCATTCATTGCATTGAATCATGACTGCATTGAAACAAAGTGGAATGATATGGTCAAATTGAGGTGTGATAACTCATCAGGTAAAGGGATAGTAGGTCTGAGCTGCAGGCTGATTGTTTAGGTTGAAAAATGTTGAATTGGAATTGACGAAAAACAAATTCTATTCAAGTTGAGATACTTTCTTCCTAAATATCTTTCTTTTTCTAAGTTGCAATTGTGATTTGTTTGTTTGTTGTTTAACGCCGCACTCAGCAATATTCCAGCTATTTGACGGCGGTCTGTAAATAATCGAGTATGGACCAGTCAGTGCAGTGATTGACATCATGAACATCTATCCATGCAATTGGGATATGATGATTTGCATCAACCAAGTCAGCGAGCCTGACCACCGGATCCTGTTGGTCGCCTCTTACGACAAGCATAGTCGCCTTTTACAGCAAGCATAGTCGCCTTTTACAGCAAGCATAGTCGCCTTTTACAGCAAACATAGTCGTCTTTTACAGTAAACATAGTCGCCTTTTACAGCAAACATAGTCGCCTTTTACAGCAAGCATAGTCGCCTTTTACAGCAAACATAGTCGCCTTTTACAGCAAGCATAGTCGCCTTTTACAGCAAACATAGTCGCCTTTTACAGCAAACATAGTCGCCTTTTACAGCAAGCATGGGTGAAAAACATGAAAGTGACCATGGTGACATTATTGTAGTCAAAGTTTAACTTGATCATATTAGGCAGAAAACTATTTTCATTATTCAAGCAACAAGAAAAGGAGAAGAAAGATGCTGTTCTAGAAAATGTCTTTATAATGTCAAGGAACATTAGCATTGGGAAACTCCAGCTAACACAGTCACTTTCAAACCGAAATCGAATCTGAAACACTTCCCCTCTGGCCATCCCTTTGTGTGAAATATGAGTTGAATCTAGTGAGTATGGTATGGGGGGAGGGGGGGATGCTTCAGAGTTGAATCTAATAGTACAGGGTGGCGAGATTATGAACAGGGCTCGGGGCTAGAAATGGTTATGCTAGACTTGCACAAGTCTGAAAGGCAATAACTATTAGTTAAAATCATAATTTCTAGATTATGTAAATAAGAAGTTGTCCCCAGAAGAGACTGGAGTCCTTACTGTCCACATATCTAGACTTGCCTATTAGGAGGACAGAATCACTACACATCCATGGTCTTTTCTTTCAGAACAGCCTTGGAGCAAGGCTATGGTTATGCCAGACTCTGACTTGTACTTCTGACAAAACTCTGCAGCAAGATGGAAGGATAGACCTTCTCTGACCTGTTCACATTATTTGTTAGGTTGTTTTATGAATCCTCTGTCATCCTGCGCATCATGGAAAAATACCCTCCGCCCCTCATTACCATAGCTGTGTTGTAAGTGACGCTCGACCCCTCGCTAACATAGCTGTGTTGTAAGTTACCCCTCGCTGCCAAAGCTGTGTTGTAAGTCCGATTTGATAAGGTAATGCTGAAGCGAGCTGCCCAATCATATTACACTGTTGTGCAGCGGCTGTTCTGAGGGAAGTAGCTGATTAGTGGGATGATGGTGAGGTCACTTTCTAAGTGAAGCTGTGGTAGTGGATGGGTCTAGGTTATTTATCCTAATAGAACGGAGAAAGGGAACACTGGATCATCTGTGGATAATCAGATAATATTACCTTAGACTGCTAGGTTCGTGAAGATCCGAGTTAGAATTGGTCTTCAGCAATCCATGCTTGTCCCCCATGAAGATCCGTGTTACAATTGGTCTTCAACAATCCTTGCTTGTCCCCCATGAAGATCCGAGATACAATTGGTCTTCATCAATCCATGCTTGTCCCTAATGAAGATCCGTGTTACAATTGGTCTTCATCAATCCTTGCTTGTCCCCCATGAAGATCCGAGATACAATTGGTCTTCATCAATCCATGCTTGTCCCTAATGAAGATCCGTGTTACAATTGGTCTTCATCAATCCTTGCTTGTCCCCCATGAAGATCCAAGATACAATTGGTCTTCATCAATCCATGCTTGTCCCTAATGAAGATCCAAGATACAATTGTTTTTCAGCAATCCATGCTTGTCACCCGTGATTACTTACAGACCACCGTCATTTGGCTGGAATATTGCTGAGTGCACCATTAAACAATAAACAAACAAACAGACACACAAAGAAACAAACAAGGTCCAAATCA